GGTATTTACATGTTGTAGTTGGTTATCTCTGTAACATCCTATGGTATTTACATGCTGTAGTTGGTTATCTCTGTACCATCCTATGGTATTTACATGTTGTAGTTGGCTATCTCTGTAACATTCTATGGTATTTACATGTTGTAGTTGGTTATCTCTGTAACATCCTATGATATTTACATGTTGTAGTTGGTTATCTCTGTAACATCCTATGGTATATACATGCTGTAGTTAGTTATATCTGTAACATCCTATGGTATTTACATGCTGTAGTTGGTTATCTCTGTAACATCCTATGGTATTTACATGCTGTAGTTGGTTATCACTGTAACATCCTATGGTATTTATATGCTGTAGTTGGTTATCTCTGTAACATCCTAAGGTATTTACATGTTGTAGTGGGTTATCTCTGTAACAGCCTATGATATTTACATGTTGTAGTTGGTTATCTCTGTAACATCCTAAGGTATTTACATGTTGTAGTTGGTTATCTCTGTAACATCCTATGATATTTACATGTTGTAGTTGGTTATCCCTGTAACATCCTATGGTATATACATGCTGTAGTTAGTATGTTGTATTTGGTTATCTCTGTAACATCCTATGGTATTTATATGTTGTAGTTGGTTATCTCTGTAACATCCTAAGGTATTTACATGTTGTAGTTGGTTATCTCTGTAGCATCCTATGGTTTTTATATGTTGTAGTTAGTTATCTCTGTAACATCCTATGGTATTTACATGCTGTAGTTAGTTATCTCTGTAACATCCTATGGTATTTACATGTTGTAGTTGTTTATCTCTGTACATCCTATGGTATTAACATGCTGTAGTTGGTTATCTCTGTAACATGCTATGGTATTTACATGTTGTAGTTGGTTATCTCTGTAGCATCCTATGGTTTTTATATGTTGTAGTTAGTTATCTCTGTAACATCCTATGGTATTTAAATGTTGTTGTTAGTTCATTAATTAAGAACTTACTCCGAATATCATGAATTCCATAATAGATTCTCAACTGCTGATGTAAAAACTTACAATACAGAGTTTTTAAAGACAAATTGAATGGTTGCAATCATGATACCATAGGGGAATATACATTTTCTTTATCTGATATCAAAGTTGATGTTTTTTTTATTATGCTCATGAGTGTACCTTATGGTTATGTTGTTACTATCCAAAGTCTCAATGTGGCGTCGTAACATTATATGGATTTGATCTACATTAACGTGATATTGATGAAACAGAAGATGCTTATAATTTCTGAACACCTGGGCTTATTCTCCTTCAAAATGTTAAAGATCTCACAATGTTGAAAAATTTACCACAAGTGGTGACTATGTTCTAGGTTCTACAAAAGCAATAAAAAAAGTCTATATATATCAACATACCTTGAGCTAGGATATTCCACTGCATAATTCTGAGTTTCTGCTGACCATTCTCCTCTGCAGTGTTCACAAAAGTCCTTGCCAGCAGTGAAGGGAGGCTGCGTTTGGAGATATCCTCCTGCAGTTTATTCATTAACACCTCCATAGTAAATCACCTTGCTGCAATAACACAATTTAAGATTGTATATATCAACAATAAAACAAATCTTCTCTGCAATTGAAGTGTATACAATGTTTAGTTATTCATGTTTTCTGTGCATTTAGGCCTAGGGTATATCACTATAAAGTATAATCAGTAACACTTATTCTCAGCTAATGTTCTGAGTGATGAAAGAAAATGACACTTTGTATCACTTTGTAAATTAAAACTACATTTGATGAGTTAATTGGCATAGTATCGTTTACCACACCTTATATGGGATATTTTATATCAGTAATTTACAAGGATGTAAGGCCAGACACAGCGCAAGCCTGGACATCAAGGTGCAGGTTACTACCAGTATTGATGTACCCCTAACATGAAGATGACAAAGATAAAGACCTGTCAGACTAACAACAACACAAGACAATGCTATCAGTAACACATCAAAAACAAAGGTAAACAGCGATAAGATCACCTATACGGTTTACCTGTTCTACTCACACAATGTCATATCCATCATTTTTTTAGCATACCTGTGTGTCCTTGTTACATATATTCTTCCCTTTTTAGGCTCCTATACTTGATCATACAATTGTATATACTATGGTATAGGTTTTACCTAGATACATACACTCAAGGAGATTCATCTGCATTTAGCTCAAACATATTCATCATTACCCATAGATCACAACCTATTGCCAACTTGTCCCTGCATACCAGATATAGTATATGTCATCAATGATTGCTAGGACATCACAACGACTCATAATTCCTAGACAAAGTATACTGTTTAAGGAATTTCTTCTTTAAGCTGACCTTAATGGTTGGATATTTTAGAAAGTATAGATCTCTATTTTCTCAAGACACTGGTGTGTCTGTTTTATATTCTTCTCAATTCTCGATCTTAAAAGAGATCTTGAGAACCTGTATCATTCACCTGAGTGTTTAAGCAATCAAGGCAAAATACACATGTACACGTAACAATATATTTTCCCATTATGGATTAATTTTTCTGAGATGCTCCCTGGTATATTTGGTTGAGATCTGTTTACATGTGTATAGAGAGAGGCAGCCAAATTCATATGAAATGGCTCTCGTTCTTCTCACATGCTTGAGCAGCAGATATATCTGTAACAGGATAGGGAAAATGCACGGCCAGACAAAGGTTCCAGCCTGACCGGGCCCTCCAAACTCAACGGACGTTCTATCAATTGATCATGAGCTACCTGCATGGATGCTGACGATCGACCCAGTCAGGTTCGGCTATTCTTCCTTCCTTTTTCCAGGTCTTCGCCACCAAAGATACAACTATTTACAACAAAGGCTTGAGTATCCCCTTGTCAAGCAGTCACCCAGTGCTTGAAACAAGAGTTTGCAAGCTCGCCAACTTTGTAACAGGAGCGGAGAAATGCACAGTCGGACCACGGTTTGAACATTGGACCCTCTTAACTTAAAATGGACGCTCTATCAATTGAGCTTCCTGGTCACTGGCAAATGCCCCTGTCCAGTAATGCTACATTTTTAACAATCGCCAGACGATGACAAGTGGAAAAACTTGTACTGGGATCTTAATTATAGGACCATTGTTGTGGATGGGCTATATGAATCCATATAACCCAAAAACAAAGAAGCAAATGTCAGAAATTTCCAGACTTTTCCAGAACCAACAGACCTTGTGGTGTATAGCCTAGTACTGTTCACAATTTCAGCTGTTTTGCTGTGTCTGATGATGCAAAAATCAGCCATGGGCCAGAAAGTGGCATCATTTATATAGAATAAATTTCATTTAGCATTCTTTATCATTTGATTTGATTAGATGTAATCCCCATAAAGTCTAACAATACTTCTCACGCATTAGTAAAGTTAACAGCATAATGCCGTAATGATCATGTTACACTGTACAGTACCCTTCTGACTATCATATAAACACGGTAGCAGTCATGCATGAATCCCGGTTATGAAAACTATATAAACACTTCCTATACAGTAAGTCCCACGATCTATAAGTTATCTGGTCAACAGTGAAAGCATAATGAATTTGTAAGGATATTTTCAAATAGCATAGTATACTATTCTGAGGGTATTTAATACTTACCGAAACAGCAAGTGACTGTTGATATGTTTATTTCGATTACAACCGGAAGTTTACAATAAAGCCCAGCGGAAGGAAACGACGACCGGAATAACTTTTTCCGGTTTCTGTTGTCATTTTTTAGTAGCACTGTGGAATTATATTAGATCTCAGCATGTATCGACAAAACCTAGTAAATACATAAGTGGTAATGATTTTTAAACATGTATGCAACTAAGATCTGATCACAATGCAATACCAAATTAAGAATTCCTATCACTAATTTTCGCTAAATGCACACACTGGGATAGTAGAAATCTGTATAACAACTAACCGATACGCTAGCTAATTTCATATATAGGGAACCAATTACCCTGTAGTTAAATAAATGGTTGAATATTTATTTCAAAGTTAAGAGCATATGTAATTACTTTGATTGGCAATACTCAAATTAAAATACATTCAAACTATATCATCTATCATTTAGAGTCATTATGAGGTGATATATAGATGACCAATATATAATTATATATTTGTTTTTTGTATGGAATATGGAACACTTAAAGAAATCCAAATCATGTTAGATTTCTCCCTTTGATACCTCAATAAACTACATATCCTGTAATTATCGCCCCCTTGTACCTCAACAAACTACATTCCTTTAGTTCTCTCCCCTTGTACCTCAAAAAACTACATATCCTGTAGTTCTGGCCCCTTGGTACCTCAAAAAAATACATATCCTGTAGTTCTGGCCCCTTGGTACCTCAAAAAAATACATATCCTGTAGTTCTGGCCCCTTGGTACCCAAACAAACTGCATATCCTGTAGTTCTGGCCCCTTGTACGTCAACAAACTACATATCCTGTAGTTCTGGCCCCTTGTACGTCAACAAACTACATATCCTGTAGTTCTCGACCCTTGTGCCTCAACAAACTACATATCCTGTAGTTCTCGCCCCCTTGTACCTCAACAAACTAAATATCCTTTAGTTCTCACCCCTTGTACCTCAACAAACGACATATCCTGTAGTTCTGGCCCCTTGTACGTCAACAAACTACATATCCTGTAGTTCTCGCCCCATGTACCTCAACAAACTACATATCCTGTAGATCTGGCCCCTTGGTACCTCAACAAACTACAACAAACTACTTATCCTGTAGTTTTCACCCTTGGTCCCTCAACAAACTACATATCCTGTAGTTCTCGCCCCATGTACCTCAACAAACTACATATCCTGTCGTTCTGGCCCCTTGTACCTCAACAAACTAAATATCCTTTAGTTTTCGCTCCTTGTACCTGAACAAACTACATATCCTGCCGTTCTCGCTCCTTGTACCTCAACAAACTACATATCCTGCAGTGCTCGCTCCTTGGCACCTCAACAAACTACTTATCCTATAGTTATCGCCCCCTTAGTACCTCAACAAACTACATATCTTGTAGCTCTGCCGCTTTGTACCTCAACAAACTACTTATCCTGTAGTTTTCACCCTTGGTCCCTCAACAAACTACATATCTTGTAGCTCTGCCGCTTTGTACCTCAACAAACTACTTATCCTGTAGTTTTCACCCTTGGTCCCTCAACAAACTACATATCCTGTAGTTATCGCCCTTAGTCCCCCAACAAACTACATATCCTGCAGTGCTCGCTCCTTGGCACCTCAACAAACTACTTATCCTATAGTTATCGCCCCCTTGGTACCTCAACGAACTACATATCTTGTAGCTCTGCCCCTTTGTACCTCAACAAACTACTTATCCTGTAGTTTTCACCCTTGGTCCCTCAACAAACTACATATCTTGTAGCTCTGCCCCTTTGTACCTCAACAAACTACTTATCCTGTAGTTTTCACCCTTGGTCCCTCAACAAACTACATATCTTGTAGCTCTGCCCCTTTGTACCTCAACAAACTACTTATCCTGTAGTTTTCACCCTTGGTCCCTCAACAAACTACATATCCTGTAGTTCTCGCCCCATGTACCTCAACAAACTACATATCCTGTAGTTATCGCCCTTAGTACCCCAACAAACTACATATCCTGCAGTGCTGGCTCCTTGTACCTCAACAAACTACATATCCTGCAGTTCTCGCTCTTTGTACCTCAACAAACTACATATCCTGCAGTTCTCGCTCTTTGTACCTCAACAAACTACATATCCTGTAGATCTGGCCCCTTGGTACCTCAACAAACTACAACAAACTACTTATCCTGTAGTTTTCACCCTTGGTCCCTCAACAAACTACATATCTTGTAGCTCTGCCCCTTTGTACCTCAACAAACTCCTTATCCTGTAGTTTTCACCTTTGGTACCTCAACAAACTACATATCCTGTAGTTCTCGACCCTTGTGCCTCAACAAACTACATATCCTGTAGTTATCGCCCTTAGTCCCCCAACAAACTACATATCCTGCAGTGCTCGCTCCTTGGTACCTCAACAAACTACTTATCCTATAGTTATCGCCCCCTTGGTACCTCAACGAACTACATATCTTGTAGCTCTGCCCCTTTGTACCTCAACAAACTACTTATCCTGTAGTTGTCACCCTTGGTACCTCAACAAACTACATATCTTGTAGCTCTGCCGCTTTGTACCTCAACAAACTACTTATCCTGTAGTTTTCACCCTTTGTACCTCAACAAACTACATATCCTGTAGTTATCGCCCTTAGTCCCCCAACAAACTACATATCCTGCAGTGCTCGCTCCTTGGCACCTCAACAAACTACTTATCCTATAGTTATCGCCCCCTTGGTACCTCAACAAACTACATATCTTGTAGCTCTGCCCCTTTGTACCTCAACAAACTACTTATCCTGTAGTTT